GCCTGCACTTTAAAGGAGGGGTTTGGGATATTGGCAGTTTGGAGGGATATGTTGTGTATCTTTATACGTATATGCTACTAAACTGTTGTGTTCTGAGCACCTCTGCAAAAACAGTGATAATGTGTGAGTGTGGTGAAAGTGTTGAATGATGATGAAAGTATTTTCTTTTTGGGGATTTTCTTTCTTTTTTGGGTCACCCTGCCTCGGTGGGAGACGACCAACTTGTTGAAAAAAAAAAAAAATATATATATATATAATATATATATAAATTATAGGTAGTAGGTTGGTAGACAGCAACCGCCCAGGGAGGTACTACCGTCCTGCCAAGTGAGTGTAAAACGAAAGCCTGTAATTGTTTTACATGATGGTAGGATTGCTGGTGTCCTTTTTTCTGTCTCATGAACATGCAAGATTTCAGGTATGTCTTGCTACTTCTACTTACACTTAGGTCACACTACACATACATGTACAAGCACATATATACACACCCCTCTGGGTTTTCTTCTATTTTCTTTCTAGTTCTTATTCTTGTTTATTTCCTCTTATCTCCATGGGGAAGTGGAACAGAATTCTTCCTCCGTAAGCCATGCGTGTTGTAAGAGGCAACTAAAATGCCGGGAGCAAGGGGCTAGTAACCTCTTCTCCTGTATATATTACTAAATGTAAAAGGAGAAACTTTCGTTTTTCCTTTTGGGCCACCCCGCCTCGGTGGGATACGGCCGGTGTGTTGAAAGAAAGAAAGATATATATAAATATATATATTTTTTTTTTTTTTTTATTATCACACCGGCCGATTCCCACCAAGGCAGGGTGGCCCGAAAAAGAAAAACTTTCACCATCATTCACTCCATCACTGTCTTGCCAGAAGGGTGCTTTACACTACAGTTTTTAAACTGCAACATTAACCCCCCTCCTTCAGAGTGCAGGCACTGTACTTCCCATCTCCAGGACTCAAGTCCGGCCTGCCGGTTTCCCTGAATCCCTTCATAAATGTTACTTTGCTCACACTCCAACAGCACGTCAAGTATTAAAAACCATTTGTCTCCATTCACTCCTATCAAACACGCTCACGCATGCCTGCTGGAAGTCCAAGCCCCTCGCACACAAAACCTCCTTTACCCCCTCCCTCCAACCCTTCCTAGGCCGACCCCTACCCCGCCTTCCTTCCACTACAGACTGATACACTCTTGAAGTCATTCTGTTTCGCTCCATTCTCTCTACATGTCCGAACCACCTCAACAACCCTTCCTCAGCCCTCTGGACAACAGTTTTGGTAATCCCGCACCTCCTCCTAACTTCCAAACTACGAATTCTCTGCATTATATTCACAGCACACATTGCCCTCAGACATGACATCTCCACTGCCTCCAGCCTTCTCCTCGCTGCAACATTCATCACCCACGCTTCACACCATATAAGAGCGTTGGTAAAACTATACTCTCATACATTCCCCTCTTTGCCTCCAAGGACAAAGTTCTTTGTCTCCACAGACTCCTAAGTGCACCACTCACTCTTTTTCCCTCATCAATTCTATGATTCACCTCATCTTTCATAGACCCATCCGCTGACACGTCCACTCCCAAATATCTGAATACGTTCACCTCCTCCATACTCTCTCCCTCCAATCTGATATTCAATCTTTCATCACCTAATCTTTTTGTTATCCTCATAACCTTACTCTTTCCTGTATTCACCTTTAATTTTCTTCTTTTGCACACCCTACCAAATTCATCCACCAATCTCTGCAACTTCTCTTCAGAATCTCCCAAGAGCACAGTGTCATCGGCAAAGAGCAGCTGTGACAACTCCACTTTGTGTGTGATTCTTTATCTTTTAACTCCACGCCTCTTGCCAAGACCCTCGCATTTACTTCTCTTACAACCCCATCTATAAATATATTAAACAACCACGGTGACATCACACATCCTTGTCTAAGGCCTACTTTTACTGGGAAAAAATTTCCCTCTTTCCTACATACTCTAACTTGAGCCTCACTATCCTCGTAAAAACTCTTTACTGCTTTCAGTAACCTACCTCCTACACCATACACTTGCAACATCTGCCACATTGCCCCCCTATCCACCCTGTCATACGCCTTTTCCAAATCCATAAATGCCACAAAGACCTCTTTAGCCTTATCTAAATACTGTTCACTTATATGTTTCACTGTAAACACCTGGTCCACACACCCCCTACCTTTCCTAAAGCCTCCTTGTTCATCTGCTATCCTATTCTCCGTCTTACTCTTAATTCTTTCAATTATAACTCTACCATACACTTTACCAGGTACACTCAACAGACTTATCCCCCTATAATTTTTGCACTCTCTTTTATCCCTTTGCCTTTATACAAAGGAACTATGCATGCTCTCTGCCAATCCCTAGGTACCTTACCCTCTTCCATACATTTATTAAATAATTGCACCAACCACTCCAAAACTATATCCCCACCTGCTTTTAACATTTCTATCTTTATCCCATCAATCCCGGCTGCCTTACCCCCTTTCATTTTACCTACTGCCTCACGAACTTCCCCCACACTCACAACTGGCTCTTCCTCACTCCTACAAGATGTTATTCCTCCTTGCCCTATACACGAAATCACAGCTTCCCTATCTTCATCAACATTTAACAATTCCTCAAAATATTCCTTCCATCTTCCCAATACCTCTACCTCTCCATTTAATAACTCTCCTCTCCTATTTTTAACTGACAAATCCATTTGTTCTCTAGGCTTTCTTAACTTGTTAATCTCACTCCAAAACTTTTTCTTATTTTCAACAAAATTTGTTGATAACATCTCACCCACTCTCTCATTTGCTCTCTTTTTACATTGCTTCACCACTCTCTTAACTTCTCTCTTTTTCTCCATATACTCTTCCCTCCTTGCATCACTTCTACTTTGTAAAAACTTCTCATATGCTAACTTTTTCTCCCTTACTACTCTCTTTACATCATCATTCCACCAATCGCTCCTCTTTCCCTCCTGCACCCACTTTCCTGTAACCACAAACTTCTGCTGAACACTCTAACACTACATTTTTAAACCTACCCCATACCTCTTCGACCCCATTGCCTATGCTCTCATTAGCCCATCTATCCTCCAATAGCTGTTTATATCTTACCCTAACTGCCTCCTCTTTTAGTTTATAAACCTTCACCTCTCTCTTCCCTGATGCTTCTATTCTCCTTGTATCCCATCTACCTTTTACTCTCAGTGTAGCTACAACTAGAAAGTGATCTGATATATCTGTGGCCCCTCTATAAACATGTACATCCTGAAGTCTACTCAACAGTCTTTTATCTACCAATACATAATCCAACAAACTACTGTCATTTCGCCCTACATCATATCATGTATACTTATTTATCCTCTTTTTCTTAAAATATGTATTACCTATAACTAAACCCCTTTCTATACAAAGTTCAATCAAAGGGCTCCCATTATCATTTACACCTGGCACCCCAAACTTACCTACCACACCCTCTCTAAAAGTTTTCTCCTACTTTAGCATTCAAGTCCCCTACCACAATTACTCTCTCACTTGTTCAAAGGCTCCTATACATTCACTTAACATCTCCCAAAATCTCTCTCTCTCCTCTGCATTCCTCTCTTCTCCAGGTGCATACACGCTTATTATGACCCACTTCTCGCATCCAACCTTTACTTTAATCCACATAATTCTTGAATTTACACATTCATATTCTCTTTTCTCCTTCCATAACTGATCATTTAACATTACTGCTACCCCTTCCTTTGCTCTAACTCTCTCAGATACTCCAGATTTAATCCCATTTATTTCCCCCCACTGAAACTCTCCTACCCCCTTCAGCTTTGTTTCGCTTAGGGCCAGGACATCCAACTTCTTTTCATTCATAACATCAGCAATCATCTGTTTCTTGTCATCCGCACTACATCCACGCACATTTAAGCAACCCAGTTTTATAAAGTTTTTCTTCTTCTCTTTTTTAGTAATTGTATACAGGAGAAGGGGTTACTAGCCCATTGCTCCCGGCATTTTAGTCGCCTCATACGACACGCATGGCTTACGGAGGAAAGATTCTTTTCCACTTCCCCATGGACAATAGAAGAAATAAAAAAGAACAAGAGCTATTTAGAAAAAGGAGAAAAACCTAGATGTATGTATATATATATATGCATGTGCGTGTCTGTGAAGTGTGACCAAAGTGTAAGTAGGAGTAGCAAGATATCCCTGTTATCTTAGCGTGTTTATGAGACAGAAAAAGAAACCAGCAATCCTACCATCATGCAAAACAGTTACAGGTTTTTGTTCACAGTCATCTGGCAGGACGGTAGTACTTCCCTGGGTGGTTGCTGTCTACCAACCTACTACCTATATATATATTATAATATATTATATATATATATAATATATATATTATAATATATATATATATATAATATATATATATATATATATATTATATATATATATATATATATATATTATATATATATATATAAAATATATTATATATTAAATATATATATATATATATTATATATATATATATATATATATATAATATATATATATATATATAAAATATATATATATATATATATATATATATATATATATATATATATATATATATATATAATATATATATATATATATATATATATATATATATATATATATATATATATATATAATATATATATATATATATATATATATATATATAATATATAATATATATATATATATATATATATATATATATATATAATTTTTTTTTTTTTTTCAACAAGTTGGCCGTCTCCCACATACATACACATATGCAATAGTAGAATTCTCCTACCAAAGTCTTAAGTATTGGTGCAGCCAATAAGTGAAACATGTGTTCATATTGGTTCCTAATAGGATGTGTGTATTTTTTACTATATGACACAAATGTGTACAGGAAATGGGCTAAACATTTTTAATTAATGGTTACAAAAATCAAACTTACCTTTAGCATTTGTGCTTTCAGCGGGACGGTCAAGTCACCCAGACTTGTCTTCAGGAGCGGTACTGCAGGTTGCCATATGTCAGCTCGAGATGGACTTCTACCCATACCATCTGGCTGCTGGTGACAGAGGACACTGGATTAAGTGTGTACTTTATGACTTATACTCTAAGGGTGAGGGGAAAGCTTGGCTGGAGTTGCCATAGCTTCAGTTGATGCCATAATTATTTACATGTATATCCTATTTATTTATTTGAATTTGATAAAGTGGTGTATATATAAAAGTTGATAGTCTTTTCCTGGCGGTTCTCTTGCCAAAATTTCTTTTAAATTTCACAATCATTGTACTTGGCCATCAGAGGGTACAGTATTGCATACATTTCAAATTTACTAAAGAATAAAAAAAGATGCAATACCTTGACTGGAAGAATGCACAAATAACCTACACAAAAGAGACTTGAAATTTAAGACATTACAGTGGACCCTCTCTTTTCGTCTCTGTTATCGCTGACTTTTTTTTGTCAAAATATTGCCTCTGTTTTCTTTGATTTTCTCCGTTTTCATCAATGGTATGGAACCTGTCCAGTGCCCAGCACAGACACAATTGCCTCCCACACACATTCTCAGGCAGCGTCGTGTTGTTTCTCGGTGAGTGAACATATCCTGCGAGGTCATACGAAACATTTCGTAATAATCCATTGTTTTTGGACTTGTTTATTGTGTGTGACTGCTAAATAAGCCACCATGGGCCCAAAGAAAGCTACTAGTGCCAATCCTTTGGTAAAGAAAGTGAGGAACACCGTAGAATTGAAGAAAGAAATCGTACAAGAATGATAGTATCATAACATGTTGCTGACCTCGCCAGGATGTATGGGAAGGCGCCATCAGTTCCATTGTGGCGAAGGGAAAAGAAATCAAGGAAGCTGATGTTGCAAAAGGAGTAAATGTGATAACGAAACAGAGATCACAAGAAATTGAACAAGTGGAGAAATTGTTGTTGGTGTGGATCAGTGAGAAACAATTAGCGGGAGATAGTATTGTGCAGTTGATAAGTTGCGAAAAGGCAAGGCAGTTGCATGATGATCTCATACAGAAAATGCCTGGAACAAATGCTGATGTTAGTGAATTTAAGGCCAGCAAAGGCTGGTTCAAAAAATTAAAGAAGCGATGTGGCATACACAGTGTTGTAAGGCATGGTGAGGCTGCCAGTTCCAACAAACAAGCAGCTGTAAAATTTGTGCGTGAATTCCAAAATTATGTAGAGGCTGAAAAATTTGTCCCCCAACAAGTGTTCAATTGTGATGAAACAGGCCTCTTTCTTGCAGTTACAAATATTACAAGTATTTAGACTTGACCATTTTATTGTCAGGAAGCCCCAAGCACATGGCCGGGGGTTTGCTTTTCCTTTCATGTTCTGCATGGGGCAGGATTTTTTTTTATATTATGCACACTCACTGCTCAGACACATTCTTTCATGTCTAGGACAAAATTACCACTCACAGCATATTTGAGAGCACTGTGCCCAAAACGTGGATTTATGCAAGCAACACGGGCACCAGTCATGAATGTCTATGTAAGAGACAGTGATAAGGTTAACTAAGAAAATTGCAAACTAAATCTGAACAGCAGATTCAGAAAAATATTAAAGAAAGAAGGGGAACTCAAAGGAAAAGTCAGACTAGGCAGGACTTTAAAGACATCTTTGGTCAGTGGTTGTATCATAACCAGAGAGGTTGGCCTCCACTGCTTCTAAGCTCAACATCATAAGAAAAATTTAACATCTGCAGTGTTAGTAAGTGAAAAGGTATTTTGCTGATGTACTTTGGGGTTTCACTTTAGAGTGTAATCAACTTGTGTCCCACCTGCTTGTGGCAGCCTTGCAGACAGTTACATCTAAGTGGCACAAATGGAAGCAGCACTGTCTGGGGGTTTACTCCAGACAGGTTATTTGCTTTGAGTTTTCAGTCTGGTTAAGGTCTTCATAAATATGGGGTATGAAAGGAAAGACTGGGTGTCCTGTGTATGAGGTTAGTTGCAAAAAATGCTATGGCACTTAATGTGCCTTTTGTAGTGATTTGGTTTCTTTTTGCCTGTGTCAATTTAAATGATAATTATAAGTTCATGTGTAGGCATTAAATTGGTTTTTGCTGATTGTGTAGTGAATGTGTGCTTAGAGTGGATGTTGTTCATTGGAGGGTAAGCATTCTGACTTTCAGGGATTATTGGTGGATAATGTTTGTGGCCATATTTGGTGCAGTGGCAATGTTTTGAATGATTTTCCTTAAAAAGCTTTAAGTGGATGAGAAGCCATCTAAGCTTAGCAGTGAATTGTGAGGCCTTTTGTTATTAACGCCGATAAAAAGGCATTGAAGAAGCAAATTTTTTTTTTACATACTGGCCATCTCCCACCGAGGCAGTGACCCGAAAAAGAAACAGGATTAATAACCATGGAGTGAACACTGTAGTTCAGGATTAGTGGGTTCTGATTGTCATGCCAAAACCTGCAATTTCAGTGGATAATGCTGCTGAAGAGAAATAGAGGGCTAAGACTTCCGTGGCTTCCTGTTTTCCTGCTGATCCTGTTTTTGTGGTCTCAGAATCAACAAAGATCCTACCTGGAATAGCTTTGGTTGACCTTTTATCTTGTTCAGATAAAGAAATTATCAGCATTCTTGCTTAAATTCAACACTCAAGGAATTACCTGAAAGAGTTTGTGCCATGGTAACTGAGCCAAAGGTTACACTTGAAATCCAAACTTTCTGGTTCTCTTATTGAATCCTTTGCAAAGAAGAAGAATTGTCATCATCGTGTATGTGGTGATTTCATTGGATTGATTGCAACTGAAGCACTATTCTTGTGAGTTCCTGGAGCTAATACATCAGAATATTTTTTTGAGAATAATGTGCTATCACTTATTCACATTGGTGGTCATAATTAGACTTGGTTGTATCTACCTCATCACACAACTGTTACCATTGTCACATACCTACAGTAAGACCCCTCATTGATAGATTCTCTCGTTATTGAATTTGGGCAGTTTTGGACATTGCAAGCATTTTTCTTCATGCAAATGTTGGATGCATTGGACAAAATGGGAAAGTCTTCAAGTATGATTTTGTCTGTAGTGAGAGTGTCCAGTTGCCGTCTGAAGCATTTGGCCAAGCCTAATGACTCAGGCATTTGTCTAGTATGTGGCAGAGCAGCCATGCCCACGACCTGCCTGTTTTTTATTTTTCCTAGAGCCTTAGGCCTTCTGCACTAGTTTGTGCTCACTCATGCAGACACTTGTCATTCAGTCTAGTTTTCCCTGGATTTAGTATTTTATGCGATTTTATGAACATATTAAGTAAAGTGCAATTGACAGTGGCTTTGAAAGCCAGTGATGGATCAAGAGGAAGTGTGTGGTTCTCATTGCTAAGCAGAAACTTGAACTAAGTCTGGTGTCTCAGTGGCATTGGCATGTGAAGAAGATAGTGTTCAGAAACAGTGTCTGCTATCCATAGAAGCAAGGACAGACTTAGTATTCTTTCTTTCAACACACCGGCCGTATCCCACCAAGGCGGGGTGGCCCAAAAGGAAAAAACAAAAGTTTCTCCTTTTACATTTAGTAATATATACAGGAGAAGAGGTTACTAACCCCTTGCTCCCGGCATTTTAGTCGCCTCTTACAACATGCATGGCTTACGGAGAAAGAATTCTGTTCCACTTCCCCATGGAGATAAGAGGAAATAAACAAGAATAAGAACTAGAAAGAAAATAGAAGAAAACTCAGAGGGGTGTGTATGTATATATATGCTTGTACATGTATGTGTAATGTGACCTAAGTGTAAGTAGAAGTAGCAAGACATACTTGAAATCTTGCATGTTCATGAGACAGAAAAAAGGGCACCAGCAATCCTACCATCATGTAAAACAATTACAGGCTTTCGTTTTACACTCGCTTGGCAGGACGGTAGTACCTCCCTGGGCGGTTGCTGTCTACCAACCTACTACCTAGGAGACAGTATATGCTTTTAAATTTAGTGTAGATGCTAGCCATAGAAGTTCAACAGTTGGCCCTAGAAAGGTTATGAAAACAGTCCATAATTAAAAGCTTGAAGAAGCAGCATAACACTGTTGGTGTTAATTTTCGTGATGTTGATCTTCACTTTGCTGCTCATAGGCTGGTAAAACATATGAGCTTAGAGTTTCAAGCAAGTGATGGGTGGCTCTGGCACTTCTGTAATGATCATAGTTTGAGTAATGTGAAGATTTATGGTGAGGCTGGTAGTGCACCTATAGACAAAAGTTGATCTTTTCAGATTAATGTTACATCATTTGATAGGTAGTGAGAAGCTCCCACTATCTCAGCTGTTTAATTCTGATGACTTGTTTTTCATTCACTGCTGTCCAATACACTAGCCTCTCAGCATAAAGGAAGAATACAAGGCCGTAACCTCAGTAAAGACTGCTTCTGAGCATTGTGCTGTGTTAATGCTGATAATTCTCAGTGTAAATTTGACATGAATGAGTTCCCAATTAATTATTACAAGGATTAGAAAGGCTGGTTTGACAAGGATGTACATGTGTTTGGCAACTCCTAGGTAGTAGGTTGTTGGCAGCAACCACCCAGGGAAGTACTGCCATCCTGCCAAGTGAGTGAAAAATGAGAGCCTGTAATTGTTTTACATGATGGTAGAATTGCTGGTGTCTTTTTTTCTGTCTCATAAACATGCAAGATTTCGGGTACATCTTGCTATTTCTACTTTAACTTAGGTCACACTACACGTGCATGTACAAGCATATATATATGTACACACTCCACTGGGTTTTCTTCTATTTTCTTACTAGTTTTTGTTCTTGTTTATTTCCTCTTATCTCCATGGGGAAGTGGAACAGAATTCTCCCTCCATAAGCCATGTGTCGTAAGAGGCAACCAAAATGTCGGGAGCAAGGGGCTTCTCCTGTATATATTACTAAAGTTAAAAAGAGAAACTTTTGTTTTTCTTTTTGGGCCACTCTGCTTTGGTGGGATATGGCCGGTTTGTTGAAAAAAGAAAGTATTTGGTAACTGTCTTTTTTTCTACATTTTGTCCCTGAAGTACACGGTCATGTTTCTGCCTCCTGATACCACCTTCCTGATCCAACTTATGGATCAGGAGGTTA